AACGCCCGTAGATCAGGTCTAGTCAATTTAGAGACGATAAGCGTCAAAAATGACTTTTTGATGAAAGATTATTTAGAATGAGTAATTTTAACTAAGTTATAGTATATGTTACAAGGATTCCGTACATATAAAGAACGCCGAAATCCGAGTTATAACGAAGAAGTTATGACCTGTCGAAGTTTCGCGACAGAACCGGCACGACGCCGAATGACGTAAAATACGAATTTAAGATAGAATGATATCTAGCCTTAGTAATCTAAACAAAAGTTGAAGAGTTCGTTAAAACGAGAGCGTGCATAAAAAGAACGCCCAAATCTGACTTCGTATGAGGAAGTTATGATTTTCTGAAGTTTCGATTTAGCAGTATGCAACCCGAATACTCAATTTGAGATTGAGCGGTTGTTAGCCAAAAAAATCTAAACGAGAATCGAATATCTCGTTAATAGTAGTGAAATGATAAAAAGATAGGCGAAAACAGACGTCGGATGAAGAAGTTATGAATTTATAACGGAGTTTTCCTATCCCAGCCTACTAAAAATAATATATAAGTAATATATTTATAATATATTAAAAATAAAGTCAAAATTACCCAACATAGTCTAAAAGAGAGTTGTAGATCATAATCTCACCTACGCGTCGATATAAAGAACGTCGAAAACGGAGTTCGTATGCGAAAGTTATGAATTTCTGAAGTTCGGGGCGCGAACCCCAAAGTTGTGTCAGAGACCACGACGTGGCAACAATGGCCACGATGTGGCATGACTTCTGATGCATTCTGGAGCCTGACAGAGCAAGTGGACGATGATGCATGCAGTGATGACCAAGCCCACGATGTGGAAAAAGGTGCCACGACGTGCCAATGGCCAATTTTGCCCTATAAATAGATTTGAAGGGTCAACCATTTAGGGTTTCTATTTTCTCTCCTCTCTCTCCCGTTCTACCTCGATTTACGTGCAAAGAAGTACCCCCGAAGCCCTGATATCATCCTGAGACCCGAAGCGAGTCCTGAAGCCCGAACATCCCGAGAAGAAAAGAGTTTCCGAGCCAAAGCTCTGTCTGTGAGAAACCTAGTGTGTGAAGATATTCCGGTTTCACCGAAGAATACTATTTGAAGAGCCGTAGTGCTGTCCGATCATCTTCTAATCAAGTGAGTGTATAGTTCCTTTCACAAAACCAATATTAATACAAGTATTGTTTGAATGTATTAAGTATATGTTTGGTGTGAGTGTGTGGTTACTTTCTTCTAACACATAAATATAAAGTATTAGCTATGAAAATACGTGCTATGTGTTATATATATTATTTGTCTATTTGAGATGGGCTTAGAATTGATGTTTTTATACGGGTGTTAAATGATTTAAACTGTATATATATGTATTTTATATCTACAAATGTGTCGGGTAGACCATGGGTAGATGAAATAGCGGCGACTATGAGACGTAGCGCCTATTGAGTAAAGCCTTGGTGACGATGCGACTTCGTGCCTATTGAGTAAGCTTTGGTGACGATGAAACTTCGTGCCTATTTGATAAACCTTGGTTATGATGTGACTTCGTGCCTATTGATAAACCTTGGTGACGATGTGACTTCGTGCCTATGGTATAAACCTTGGTGACTATGGAGTTAGCGCCTGATAACTATGTATTTAGTATCTGATAGATAAGCTTTGGCAGCAATGGACTTCGTGCCAATTCCTTAGGTAAATCCTTAGGAATGAATGAATGAAGGATAGTGGATTCTTAGGGTAAACCCTTGAGAAAATAAAGTAGATATGGGGATGGGTATTTGGGTTGATTGTTTGATAATTGAATATAATAAATGTATTATTGTGGGTTGAAAACCCTATATGCTCACCAGGCTCCCAAGCCTGCCCACTCAGTTTTCTTTACATTACAAGTAATGGCACAGGGGTATAAGTTGGTGGACTTGACGAGAGATTTTGGATTATAGATCAGTAGTTATAAATAACTGTTGTAAGGTCTATTTATATTGTTTATGCTTTTGGTTTGTATCGGAACATGATATCCCACAGTTTTATTATTTAATGAAAATACAATCTCTTTGAGAAACGTTTTGATAAATTTTATCATATTTTGTTTTGGGAACAAATTTCCGCAACTCTTTTAATCAAATGATTACTCTGATTTTATAGAACAAGCATAAACAAATCGGTCTTTTTTGGCCATTGATAAGTCTATTTTATGAATATACTAAATTGTCATAAATCTATTGAATTGATGCAAAATTGTCCAAGAATGGAACTACTTTGATGAGTTGTTGAACTTCATTTGCAGGTAAATACTTAGTGCTAAAGTGGGTGGAACCCGCAAGAAAAATGAGCAAAAGGAAGCTAACAAGCATGGGAGATGAATTGCTAAATGAATGAAGAAAAATGGTGCTGAGATATTTGACTACTCTTCAATGTTTTGATCATATCTCAAGATATAGAGCTCCAATTGACATAAATGAAGAATTTCTGAAAACTAGACAACATTTCCTACAACTTTCATGTTTTGCGTTTTTACTGATTCTATCGTTTTCATCACCAAAAAGGGGCAACAAAGATGAGGGACGTCCTAGAACGCGTCTAAGACGCCCCCTAGGACGCCTACCCGTTTTAGGCCATTTTCAAGTGCAAATCAAGGACGAAAGAAGGCATGTAAAACGTCTTGAAGGATGCCCGGACATCCTATATGACGTCCAAGACGCCTACTAGGACGCCTACGCAGAAACAGCTCCGAAAATCAGTTTTTCAGCACCTATTTAAAGGAGATTTAACCCTAATCGACTTTGGACCTCTCCCCTGTGATTTTCCTTGGTTTTGGAGGGTTCCAAACACTTTCAAACCTTCTCCAAATGCGTTTTTCATCATCAATTTCTGAATCCGAGGCTACGAATCACCAAGTTCATCATCAAGCAACGTTTGAAGATCATTCAACCGGTGAATCATTATCAATTCCATCAATCTCCAGATTTGGTTACTTCTTCTCCAAGGTTTCATCGTTCCATGATTAATTGATCATTAGACTTTATTAGTTTTATGATTTCAAGTTTGTTTATCAATTTTAGTATGAATTCCATTGTTTTTATTCAATTTGTGTGCTTTTTTATTGTTATGGAAGACTAAACCACATAGGTTACTTCCAGGAACGTTGTAGGATGTTAGGATGAACACATTTTGATTATTACTTTTATTCTAGTCAATTTTAGTTATTGTTTCATTCTTAAAGTTATGATTTTTACTTACAATGATTGGAGTTGGGTTTTCTTATTGGGTGTTATTCCAACTAAGATAGTGTATTGTTAATTCACTAATCATTCTGAATTCAAGTAGTTTAGGAACTAAGATGATCAGTTGACCCAACATACATTATTCCAAGTTTGTATTATTATATATTCAACATTGTAATAAGTAATCATAAGACATATTATGTCACACCCCAAAACCGAGAACGGCGGAATATATTCTGGGGTGGAGGACGTCATGTACAGTATCATAACAATGCATAATAGTAAAAACAAGCGACAACATCCATTTCATTAATATAACGATTGTAATGCATGTGTGTTCTGTACAATAGACACCAAAGGTATAATCAAAATAAAAGATGAGTTGTATATGCGCTCCATCTTCCCAAAAGCTGCATCAGTACATGTTTATTGTTGACCTGAGAATACAAGTTATTTTGCAAACGGGTATCAGCATAAAGCTGGTGAGTTCATAAGTATTCAGTGTCGTTTCTTGTATAAAAGTGTTTACAATCTTGTAGTGAATTGGCTGTTATCAAATTTTGAAAGTAGTTTGATTCATAGAATATCCCATATTTTCCAGCAAAAAGTAGTATTTTACCAAAACTAGGTTATTTGTAAGTTCGTTTCTTTGTAAAGGTAATAGTCTTCTCGTGAAAATATCAGTAATGAAAATATAATTTCAAACTCGTTCATTATAGAGAAAGAATAGAGTTTCACCCCAGCAACGCCCCTGCCGGTTAAATGTAATAGTGAATGTAAACTTCGGATAGTATTAATTTTGTGTGCACCTCGGGATGTGTGTTTAATTAAAGTTTGAATGTGAGCTCGTATGAAATCATAATGAGTGATAGTAGTACAGCGGCCGACCCTCTAGGTCACCAATAGTGTAGTAGTGTTTGTTATCCCTGGGCCAAAAGGCTCGGACTGTAGCTAGCAGTCGAGATGGGGAAAATCCATCCCATATAGATCTATACACATAGTGGTCGCTCTCCTTCCAGGAAGCGATGGTTACCCGATAGTTGCATAGCAAAGTGTCGTATAGAGAAATAGTGCATCACATTCCATTGTAGTATTTTCTCTCGTATAGTATATAGTACTCACTTAGTGAACTAGGTAATGTTCTCTTTATGTAGTTTATAGTGTTTCTTCATGTAGTGGAGAGTGTTACCTTAGTATAGTAAAGTATATAGTGTTTTTTTCACATAGTGTATTGTACATATAGTCTTGTAATTGCACTGGCCCTAATGTG